CGGATCCTCATTGAGGATTGCCGGTGGCTGAGGGCTCGTGGGTTGGTGCGCAAAGGTTTGGGGAGGGACCAACCAGCTAGGCTTGGGCACTTGAATAGCTGGACAGGTGCAGTGGTCCCCTCAGCACCCAGCCACTAGGTCCAGCTTGAGACCCGCCCTCAACACGTGACCTGCCCAGGCTGCCCCCTCCCCGCACGCACTCCTCTCTCCGGCCCCGCCCCCAGGCCCATGCCCGACCCTGACCCCGAGTACCCACTCCACACTCCCCGACCCCAAAGACTGAGGAGAGGCCCGCATGCGGGGTCTGCTCTTGCAATCTCACCCAGACTACCCCTACCCGACCCCCGCCCCATCCTAGGCCTTCGCTCCGCCCCAGGTGATGGTCAGGCCCCGCCCCCAGCGCCCAGCGCCCAGCGCCCAGAGCCAGCGAGCACAGCGCCGGCTCAGGGCTCCAAGCCAGGGGGCGCCGCCGATCAGGTGAGTGCCACCCTTCTCCTGGCGCCTGTCGCGCGCGGCGCCCCTGTCCTGCCCCTAGCTGGGACCCTGCATGGCCTCTGACACCCCACCGGGGGCTCGGTCCGGTGATCCACTGTGCCCTTTCTGCCTTCCGCGTGCCCTGTCCCCCATGCGCCTTTTGGTGTCCGCGGGGGCCCACTTGCCGCTGTCCAGTGCCCTCTCGCGTCTGCTCCCAGTCTCAGCAGCCGCACTCCTCGATCCTTCCACTCCTAGCCCGCAGGTCTCTGGGACCAGGAGGCCACCCCGTGTGCCGGGGGCGACTAGCTGTCGCCGGGATTCAGCCGGCCCTCTCTGCCTACCGTCCTTGCTTCTCACCTCCCCAGGGAGGGCAGGCTCTGGGGCTCTGGGAGCTTTCCGGGGATGAGGGTGCAGAAAATGAGCATGGAGTTGCAGGACCAATGGAGGGAGGGGTCAGCGAGTTGCACGCAGAGCACCCCTGCTCTCTGCACAGGCCACTCGCAGCTCGGCATCTGTGCCCTGGATCCTTCCTGACCCTCAGGGTGCCCACCCTTCTGCAGGACCCCATCTGCCAGAGACCACTGGCTGCCAGGTGCCCCCCAGGTCAGGGAGAGATCAGGAGCCCGGAGTGGAACCTTTGAAGCTGTTTGAGGGGAAGAGTTGGGATGGGTATGGGGAGACCCAGAGCCTCTCAGCACAGGTGGTGAGAGCAGCAGTGACCAGGCACCAGCAAGGGATTCCCGGTAAAGCTGACATTTCCCAAGAAGAAAGCTGGGTAGAAGGTGGTCTTGCAGACTTGCTGAGCACTAAGGGGGCTGTGCAGCTCTGGCCTCCCTGCTGCTGCCTCAGACCAGCCCACACCTACCTCAGTTTACCCCTCATGGGGAGAATCTGCCTCCACCCAGGCTGCCTTAAGGACAGTGTGAGTAGGGCTGCCTCTAGCCCACTCTCAACAAAGGCAGAAGCAGAGCTTGGAAGGCTCATCGTGGGTGTTTGAGCACCCTATTTGCCATCCAGCATAGGAGGAGCACTGTGTGTGCTCAGCCTCCAGGTGAGACGGGCCCAGGAGTGCCCTGAGCACTCCTCACAGCTGGAGCTGACCTTACCTTGCACTGGCCTGGTCTGGGAGGAGTCTCAAGATGAAGGCCTGACCTCTGGCCACCAGGCATGAGGACTCTGGTATGAAGGCTCAATTCTGTCCCCAGGGCCCTGGGACTCCCCCCCCCCATATACACCTTCTCCCCATCTTCTTCTTTCCTGATGTTGGGGAGGAGATATGGGTTGTTTGGGACAGTTTGTTTAGACAGCCATTATTGAGCTCCAGGCTTTCTCCATGGCATCTTGCATGCTTTGGCACAATTCACCTCTGGAGCAGCTTCCCAGTTTGTGGACTTTCTGATACCTAAATAAATCCAGGCGTTAGGAAGCTTGGTGGCTTCTCCAAGATCACAGGGTATTGTAAGTGAGAAGCCTGAGTGGGAGTGGACTTCCCAGTGCCCTGATGGGGGCCAGCAAGCAAGTCCTTTCCTGGGTGTTGGGGTGAAAGGCCCTATCTTCAGCTCTCTTCTCACTGAATCCTCCCCCACAATTGAAAGGTCCTTAGAACAATTTTCCCATGAGTCTGTAATTTTGAAACTAAAAGATTGCAGCTTCCAAATAATGACTCTTGCAGAATTAAAAGAGGCAGGCAAAGCGCTGGGTCCATTTTGTTCTTTCCTGCTTTGAAATGTATGTGGTGAGTTGGGGTGTTTATAGGGACAGTAGGGGCAGCAGCAGGCAGTCGTCAGAGCCCCTCCCTGGGTCTGGGTAGCCTCACAGGAGTCCCAAACAGCTAAGAGCTCTCATAAAAGATGGGGAGCTTATTTAATTTAAGATCAAACATACATTCAGGAGCTGCTGCCCAGAAAGCTCAGGGCTTGTGCTAGCCAGGATCTAAGCTCCACTGGCCCTCTGTCCTTGTGGGGATAGCCAGCCCACTTCTAGGAGCTGCTCCATTGCCTCTACCCAGTCCCCACTGGGTCACACAGCGCTTGCACCATGGGTCCTTCCTTGGAGTTTTGGTGAGTGGTGACCCACAGGCCTCTGTAACTTGTTGTGCATCCTGGTCTCCTAGATTCTTACATGCCCTCTACAGAGGTTTCCCACAGAAGCAGGGGAAGCTGGCCCTCTAGGGATAGCTTCTAGTGTCAAAGCTCCTGGGAAAAACTTGCTCCTGGCCAGGCACAGACACAGGCTGAAACCATGGTGACCACGGGCACTGGCCAACCTACCCCCTTCTCCAACTCAAAGATACTCTTTAGACCAGAAGTCACCAGAAAGCCTCCTGGGCAGAGTCACAATACTTTATCTTTTTTGTTAAGTAGAATCTTATCACACACTTTACAAAAGATCATGGTACACCAGCCAGTGCACTTGGAGCCCAGGGAGGGGCACAAATCCAGCAAAACAGAAAGTGTGCTTCCCTTCCTTTGGAGTAGGACTTCAGGGCAACACTTGCCTCTCCAGCTGGCACCAGTGCTTCAGCCCTTCCTGCCACTCCTCTGTCACTCCTGGCCAGGCTTCCGTCTTGTCCTTGGCTGGTATTCGTCAGGATTTCCCCTCTTCCTGGAGCATGGCATCTCAGTGCTAGTGCTACTTTACCATGACTGTTCTGCTTGGGATTGGACTCAGTGGTGCTACAGGAACCCACCTCTTCTCTGAGTGGTGTGTCTTGCCCGGAACCCTTTGGCCCTGCTTCTCCTCTCTGTCTGTGTACTGTGTTTTTCTTCTAGTTCTCTTCAGAACTCTCCAGACTGGAGTCAGTCTTGACTTCTGTGGGTGTAGGTTTTGTTTTTTCTTGTTGTTAGTTTATCTAAATGACTATATTTTTTGTGACCCAAATCTGTGAATTTTAGAAATAGATAGCTGCTTAATTTGCTTCTTAAAGGCCAAATTATTTCATAATATTTCATCCATGCTTTACTTGTGAATCCTGAATATGTTGAAGCATGTTCTAGGGCCAGGGAGATGGCTCAGTAGAATAAGAGCTTCCCTGGCAAGTGCAAGGGCCTGAGTTCAATCCCCGGTTCTGAAAAAAAACCAAACAAACAAAAAAAAAGAAGCATGTTCTAAGCATATAAGTTTAGTCGTGGTATCTCTTCTGGGCTCTCCCAGCCCATTTTTCTCTGTCTTCCAGATCATAGTTACGTCTGTCCAGCTCCCTTGTATCTTTAGGAAGAGGTCCTGTCCTGGAATCCATGGGAGGGCCCTGTTTGCATTGGTCACTAGGAGTCTGTGAACAGGTCCAGGGCTTTGGGGTATGGGGTAATCACTTTTAGGGCTTACAGTGTCATGGCCTTGGCTCAGACCAGTGGGCTCCTGTCCCTGTGTGGCCTCTCCCTTGGTTGGGTCTTTTGTGTGCTTGCATTCTTTGCTGAATGCCCCAGCACCATTCAGCAAGGTACCAGGCTTCCTGTGTCTTCCTCATCAGGGCAGGAGTTATTTTCTTTTTCATTGTTTTTAATGAAAGATTTCAAACATGTAGAAAAATGCAACATGCTGTAACAAGCATGTGTACCTGTCGCCTGATCCAACAGATACTAACATTCTCTATAGCTGCTTCAGTGCCTGTCCACAAAGCCCACCATGACAGCCCCACAGCCTTTGTGTTAGGCTTCTGGGTGCAACACCCCCAGGCTATGCCTCTGCCCTGCTTTCCTTGTTTGACACTGTTCTGTGCATTTTTGTTCATGGTTATTGTGCTGTATGTGAACAGTCAGCATCCACCTTGCTCCTTACTGTGTCGCTGCCGGGGGCTAAAGAAATCTGTCATTGCTGAGGAGGTGATGGGTCTCACCCTACTCACGCCAGCCTCTGAGGAGCTGCTGCTGCCCCCGTGTGTGTCCCTCAAGGCTGTGATATCAGGTCACTCTACAAGTCATTATGGCACTGTCTGACAGAACCTCTGGGTTCACTATTGGCTGGACTTCTGGGGTGATCACTGCTACATGGATTCTCAGAATGGCTCTGCTTGGGGGTGGACATGCAGGGAATGGCATTCTCTGGGATCTGGTGGGTGGTGGCAGAGCCTTCCACAGAAAGAAGGTCAGTGCCCCATGGAGTCCAGTGTGGCTCCCCGGGAGAGCAGGCTGGAGGTCAGTGCATATTGTGCTGGGATCCAGACACATGCTCTAGAGCACTGGGGACTAGAATCTGCTAGGCAGAGGTTACCCTCCTGCTGTGCTGTCTTGGGGTGCCATGGGGTACAGATCACAGGGCAGCCGCAGAGGTATCATCAGCAGATGCTGGTCTCAGTTCACCAGACGGCTGCCCTTCTGTCCCCGGTGGCTGCTCCTTCCTCTCTGGGCTTGTTTTCCAAACAATTTGCTTAATGTGATTCCCGGCTGAGTTGAACATGACTAATCGTGTTTACCTACCGCCGTCAGGCAGGCGGAGCTGGGGATGGGCCAGGAGGAAGGAATGCTGGATGTGCCCAACTCACCGGTTCTCCCTTCTCTCATAGAGACGCACACATACAAGCGGCCTCCATGGAGCCTCTGTACCCAGCCTTTACACCTAGCTGGAACACCTCAGCTGCCAGCCCTGGAGACAACCACAATGGGACACCGGTAGGGCCAGCACCATCAGTGGGGGCCCAGGCAATACTGGTGCCCTTGCTGTACCTTCTAGTGTGCACTGTGGGACTGGGTGGCAACGGGCTGGTCATCTACGTGGTGCTGCGACATGCTAAGATGAAGACGGTCACTAATGTGTATATCCTCAACCTGGCTGTGGCCGATGTGCTGTTTATGCTGGGCCTACCATTCCTAGCCACACAGAATGCTATGTCCTACTGGCCCTTTGGGCCCTTCCTATGCCGTCTGGTTATGACACTGGACGGAATCAACCAGTTCACTAGCATCTTTTGCCTGACCATCATGAGCATTGACCGCTACCTGGCTGTGGTCCATCCACTTCGCTCTGCCCACTGGCGCCGCCCACGAGTAGCCAAGATGACTAGTGCTGCAGTCTGGGCTTTCTCTTTGCTCATGTCCCTGCCATTGCTGGTCTTCTCAGATGTACAGGAGGGCTGGGGAACCTGCAACCTCAGCTGGCCAGAGCCTGCAGGACTGTGGAGTGCTGCCTTCATCACCTATACATCTGTGCTAGGTTTCTTTGGGCCACTGCTGGTCATCTGCCTCTGTTACCTGCTCATTGTGGTGAAGGTGAAGGCTGCAGGTGTGCGAGCCGGGTCCTCAAGGGGCAGGCGATCTGAGCGCAGGGTGACCCGTATGGTGGTAGTTGTGGTGCTAGTCTTTGTGGGATGCTGGCTGCCCTTCTTCATCGTCAACATTGTCAACCTGGCCTTTACACTGCCCGAGGAGCCTGCCTCTGCCGGCCTCTACTTCTTTGTAGTGGTCTTGTCCTATGCTAACAGCTGTGCCAACCCATTGCTCTATGGCTTCCTCTCTGACAACTTCCGCCAGAGCTTCCGGAAGATTCTGTGTGTCCGTGGGAGCTATGGTATGGAGGATGCCGATGCCATGGAGCCACGGCCAGATAAGAGTGGGCGGCTACAGGAGGTCACGCTGCCTCCCACACGCAGTTGCCAGACAAATGGGCACATGCAGACCAGCCGGCTGTGAGAGCCACCTGGGTCTTTCAGGGACCACCCAGTCTCATCTTCCTGGCGTGGGACTATGCTGAAGCACCCATCCTCAGATGCTGTGGACTGCAATTGAGATACTCTTTGTCAATGGCATAAAGAAAAGAGCTGCCTGGGGCAGAGCCGTGGGTGGACACAGCACGACCAGCATCCTGCAGTGATCATGTCACTTCACCGGCCCCTTTCCTTATGTGGGCCAGTTCTGGAACCTTGGGAGACTCAGCTTTGTCCCCAGAAATTTCTGGCATCTCCAGCTCTGCCCTAGCCTATCTTGTCTCAGTGTCTAGGCCATGGGAGCCAGCAGGGGCACTCTCCCTGACCACTGGTATGAGGTTAACTACATACCCTAAGGACTTACTGCATGTGCCCCTCATCATAGGAGCTCTGTGTCACCCAGTCAGTGTTTCAGTGCTACTCTGTGGAACTAAAGAAACCTGAAAGCATTGGGCACTGGAGGCCATTCCCTGGAGTTCCCAGGGTCTAGGCAACAGCCCCAGCTCTTCACTGGTCCTGAGACTGTGTGGACGCTGGGGACAGCAGAAATAATACTAAGCTGACTCTGGACAGTTGAAATCCCAAAGAAGACATGGTCTTTACAACCCTACCTTCCTGTCCACTTGGCCCAGTGATGGGAACTGTGGGCAGGTCAGACACAGGGATAGCCATCCTGGGACAAGCTCTGTCCAGGTGCCACCAAGGCAGGCTAGGGTGAAGGTTTCTACTGGAAGTTCCTGAGCCTTGGAGGCTGTGAGGACATGCAGAGGGCCCTACAAGTCTCCTTTCTGGGTGAATTAGGGGCTCTGGCCAGAAGAAAGAGCAGGACAAGCAGATGGGTGGGGGTTGGGAGAGACCTGCCTCCTAGTGCAAATAGCATAGTCTGGGAAGATGCTACGGTGTGGATAGAGACAAATACCAGCAAGTACTGGCCCCAGAAGATCTGTTCCCAGGATTATACTTACTCCCTAGCTCAGGACAGCTTCTCTGTGACCTGCTCCTCTCAGGTGTAGAGCCCTGAGAACCCCTGTGAAGCTTGCTGAGACCCCCAGTGTACCTTGACTTCTCTCTGAGGCTGGAAGGAGTCAACTCCGCAGTCATCTGCTCTGGGACAGCCCTGCCCGATGCTGCCCAGCCCTCCAGTAGGATGCAGGGGCCAGGTGAAGCAGCATAGGGAAGGGTAAAGCCAGGCCACTGCTGGTGGCTCTCTGGTGTGACACCCAGAGGAATAATGCTAACATGTTCTGCGTACTGAAGGCGCTTGTGTTTGACAACCTGCTCCCTGAATAAATTAGAGAATAAATGTTTGATTCTTTCCCAAAGCAAATATTGTCCCTGTAACTGAGCAAAGTTGGAACAAACTAGAATGTTTTCTAGGTGTAAGGCTTCCCTGGCCCCAGAAAACTAAACCCTGATAAGGTAGGATAGGAGTAGCCAGACCCAGCTAGAAGTAAGGATCCGGGTGACTAGACAGTGAGGTAGCAGGGTTCACTGAAACATAGGTGCTTCCAGGGCCTGGCTGACTCTGCTTGCTTTCCTGGGCTCAGCAACAGCTCTAGGGTGGGGATGGGAGTCTTCATGTGGGTCACCAGAATCTGTCCAAGTCACCAGACTTTGGTGACAAAACCCACCCTCATACACTGGGACTGGTGTCCCAAGGAGGGGTGTCATCTTCCTACCCATCCTCAAGCCCTTCAGGTTTTGGATGCAAAGTATTGGATGCATCTGCTCCAAATACCTTAGGGGAGGCAGGCAAGCAGATGGCATAGCTATCTCTGCCCATATTGCCTTCTCTAGATTGATTTGACATTGAGCCCTCCTTCCTCAGGGTCAGCCAGCCTGAGACCATAGTGTATGCCTATCTGTATGTGTCACCTGTGGAGGACACAGAGTAGAGACTGAAGCTGCCCTCACAGTGACCTGGCAACAGCTGGAATATGCTTTTCAGTGGACCTTGGTCCTTCTGGGAGCTCCCTGCACCCTGCTCCCCACCATATCCAACCAGAAGCCCTGGTGGGCCCTGCAGTATCAGCCAGTTTCAAGGACTTGTGTCCTTTTGTCCCATAAACTAGCTTTGAACCCCACAGGGCCAGTCTGGTCCCCAGGCTGCACACAGTTCATCTGCTGGCCTCTGCTTCTGTCCTTATCCTGGTCAAGTGCACACTTTTCCCCTCTTGTCCTCATTTTCAGTTCCTGTCAAACTGGGCCACAAGGGTCAGTAAGTTCCTATTGGTATCCCCAAGAGTATAGCCTAGATCACCTCTTACTACCCATGGCCCCAGGGTCTGGTAGACCCTTGGGTTGTGTGTCCTCCTGGAACAGCAACAGTGTATGCCTCCTGCACCCACACAGGCTTGGTTGTGGATATCTGAAGCTGAGCTGGAAGCACACACCAAGCAGAAAGAACAGTATGCGTGGGAGCTCAGGCCAAGGAGCACAGTGTGTGAGCTCTCCACTGCTGTGCGTGCTGGTGGAAGGGTTGGGAACAGAGCAGGGTAGGTACAGCCCCCAGGCCTGTCCCAAAGTCTGTGGTGCTGGTGGGGGAGGACAGGAGATATTGGAGGAGGGAGAGGCTGGGTGTGGGAAGTTTTGTTTGGGACAGGCAGGCAGCCTGGCTCTAGGTGGGATGTGGAGGACCAGAGATGCTGATGAGGCAGGATCATCACCTCTGCTGTGATAGGGGAAGCAGCCCAGGCTGGCTTCTGGCTGGAGCAAATGGGAGGGCAAGACTCAGGTTGGGTGTGAAGGAGACTGAGGAGCCTGTGGAATATCCTGGGAGATTCTATGCAGCCTGTATGTAGGTCCTGAGACCAGGCATGGCCAGTGTGGGTCACTAGTGGACACATGGTAGGGGGCAAGAATGACATCCAATCAGCACCTGTAGTAAAGGTTAATAGGGATTTCCAGAAAGAACATGGACTCAGGAAAGCTATGAGGTCCTAGAGTGGTCTCACATCTGTCACAGGCCTCAGGATCCTCAAAGATACCAGCACTGGGGCTGAGGGGCTGCAGGGGATGAAGGCATAGCTTACAGGGACCACAGGGCAGCCACTGTGTACAGGCGTGGGGGTGGAGGGGATAGAGCAAACACCTAGGGCTCAAGCAGTGACCCGCTTTATGGGCTCTCTGTCTGCATCAATGGGTTTTATTGGCTTCTGGGCTCCAGCGACTCCCAGGGTGACCTTGCTCAGGAAATCCGGCCTGTAGGGACAGGGATGGGAGACAGGAGGTATCTGTTTGCCCGGCAGGGCGGGGTGCACGCTGGGAAGGGAGGGTAATGGCAAAGCAGCCCCCACAGGTGTGTATTCATGGAGGATATTCTCCCCACAATGGTGTAGACTGAGGCTCATGGGGGGGAGCAGAGAAGGCTGAGCTGAGGGCCACAATGACAATGGCTTCTCCCAGTAGCAGTACTGCTTCCTCTGGCAGGTTCCTGAAGAAGACATTCCCCCACCCAGGTGTCCTGGGGAGGAAGGAGACGAGGTGAGGTGCTAGTGGGCATCAGGCAAAGATGATGGAGTGTTGATGGAGACACCATTGCCTCCCACCAGATGGACCCCATCTGGCAGAGGCCATGCGAGATAACACAGACCTCTAGACAAGTAAAGTGGCCAATGCCGTCCCTCTCGCCCATACTCTACTGGGTTCCCCATAAATAGGCATAGCTGGAAATTGTCACTTGGGTCTATTGAGATAAGCTGTCAGCACAGGGCAGAGGGAGGACAGAGATGAAGGAAAAAGTCAGACACTCCAGCCCTTCCAAGTCCCTATTCTGAAGGTCATCTAGCCTGTCTGGGTGGACAGGAAGTGGGTGACCAGGAGAAGCCCTTGTACCAGTCAAAGATCTGCCAATTAAATCACTCGCCCTCCTGACTGGTTGCTTCATTGCTGCCCCCTCCCAGGTCTCTGAGCTTTAGGAAGGAAGCCCAGCCATATCTGCACCCTCAGAAATTCACACATTTACTCCTAACTCAGCCCTGGGGATCATGATCGAGATACCTGAGGTAGATAGGGCCCCCCTACACATCTGATTCTGACTTCTTTCTCCCAGCCCAGCAACTACTAGTTCACTTTCTGACTATGAGTTTGACTTCTCAACAAAGGATTTTTTGTTTGTTTGAGACAGGGTATTGCTATACAGTTCAGAATGGCCTTGAACTCACTGGGAAACCCAGGTTGACCTTGAGCTCTCAGCGATCCTCCTGCCCTAGTCTCCTGCCCATTATAGGTGTGTGCTATGACATCCAGCTCTACAAGGAATTTTTATATGTGAAACCACAGTATTTGTCCTTTTGTGAATGTTTTGTTTCACTTATCATTAATGTCCTCAGGATTCATTTGTGTTACAGCATGTGTCAGAATCTCCTTAATAATATTTCATTGTAGCCAAGTATGGTGATGCATGCCTGTAATACTATTTACTCAGGAGGCTGAAGCAGGAAGACCACAAGTTTGAGCCCAATCTAGACAAAATAACAAAATCTTACTTTAAAATAAGAAAATTAAACGACTAGGAATAGAGCTTAGTGACTGAGCCCCCTTGTAGCATGCTGGAAGTCCTAGGCTCTATCCCCATACTACACACAAAGAAATTCCTTGTGTTGGCAGAGTACCACACTCATCGCCAGTAGACACTGGTTTGTGTCTACTGACTCAACCTGTTTGTGTATTATAACAATTTATAAAGAATGGAAATTTATTGCTCTAGAATCCTCTTGCTTCCCATTCTTCCAGGCTTTTGCAACTTTAACTTTTCAAAGTTAAAAAAAAATAGACCTTTTTTGCATAAATGTTCCAAGTAGCGTTATCCGTAATAGCAAGATATTTATCAACAGATGATGAGTAAAACATGCTCCATCCATACAATGGAATACTGCTCAGCTATAAAAGGAAGGAAGCTCCAGCAATGTGTAGCTCTGCAGTGTGGATGACCACCGAAAAACATGATGTTCAGAGAGAAACCAGACACCAAAGGACAAGCTCCTT